TTACCAAAATTCAAGGTCATGAATTAGGACACATCCCACTAAACACACTTATAGTAATAAATGGGAAGTATGTCTAAATAAACTGAGTAGTCAATGCCTACATATCTGTTATGTCTTCAATTTCATTAAATTTCTTCCTATTAGGGACTGAAGACCTTAGAGTTATACATAAAGGAAATAAATGAAGGTCAGGATGTATGTTCATTTGGAAGCAGTCTTCAGTGTATACGAACATAATTATGAATTTTTCTAACAGGGCCTGTACCTTAATTGAGTAGGTTTGATGATATCATGATAACACAATAAAGACACATACATTTAATGACTTCTCACACCTTAACTGCATAAAGGCCTTGTAATTTATATAGTTGTGTTTAGTAAATGAAAAGTTTTGTACCATCTTAAGTTAACATGGAAAATCAGGTAAACTTATTTTACTAAATTTATTTATATATAGATTATTTCACAAATGTCGATTATTCACACAGAGATTAATTTCAGTCAAAATCATTAGTAAATTAACATTTTTCCTTTGAGTTATCTTTCTCATTAGGGAAAGTGAACCTTAAAATAGGAAATGCAACGTCAAGTCCCTGAACTTTTACCAATTTTACTCAAGTTATTCAGTTTCGCAAAGGGATGAGGGACAAATTACAGAGTTCTTCAGGTGCTAAAGTCAATGCAGGCTCATTTGAATAGGGCTCGCAGTGCTGGTCTTTCGATGTATTTTCCTTATGGCATATGCTGTATGAATGGTCACGACATAATAATAGATAAATCAACAAATAAATAAAACTAGAGGTACTGTGAGCAATGAGCTCACTAAATGATACCCCCCGCCTCCCATAATGTCGATGTGTTGCTATTATAATATATTGTTTTACTGTAATGTGTAAAGAGGAACAACTCGTCCTATCAAATGTTATCCAGAAGCTTCTATTATGTGACGTCATAGGTAAACAAAAAATGGCAATGTCCATGTTTTGCTATGGAAAACCTAAAATACGTGTCGAATAAAAAAGTAAAATAGGAGGTGCACAATGGTAATATGTAATAAAGATTCTGTGAAAGTTTCATTAAATTCCACTCAGTAGTATAAGAGGAGTTGCGGATAAGAGAAAAAGCGTAACAGACGGACGGACGGACGGACGTACAGACGGACGGACGGACAGACGGACGGACGGACGGAATTAACGATTACTATATACCCTCCCGCTTTTCAAGCGGGGGGTATAATAAAGAGGGTTATAATGAGACTTCCAGTATAAGGTTTAAAATGGGGCTTAAATTTTTGTCAGTGTTGGTTTCTGCTGTGTGTCTAAGTTATTAGATAAAAAGATTTGCTATTTTCACACAGATAAAACTTGCTTCAGTTAAAATTCTATATTCACAGATTTTAAATTCACAAAGGATAAATTGTTTAGGTAACTGGTTTTATTTATGTGGAATTAAACGATTTAAAAAAAATAAATAAAATAATAAAAAAAAAAAAAGAAGAAACGCTTAAGGCGAGATTTCCTAACAGCATAGGAGATACAAATTCGGGGGGGAGGGGGTGTTAGATACATATTGTACCACAGGTTAGATTACAATCTGATCCATTTCCTACAATATTTTCTTTTTAATAGTGTGCGCTTACTGTTAGCTTACACATATGCATATCTCAGGGGCATTTCTTCATTGAAAATATCAGTTCATACTCAGTTGCCATTCGCATGTAATATGGTATGTGTTTATCCCTCATGTGAGCAGTTAGCTGTATTATTTTTTGCACATTTATCTCATATGGGATTAAGATGCATTAGTGGGTGCATAATTGCATATGTACATGTAGTTTACATCCATGCATTAGCTAATGGGTACAAATACAGGTTATTCGTACGTGTATAAGAGCCTCGGTTAACGTCCCTACGCTCCTTATGTACCTCGGAGCCAAGTCAAAAGTATCTCGTCGTGAACCTCTAGCATGCTGGAGTAAAATACAGGTTAGCTAGGGGATACAAATACAAATCCACAAGTGAGTAGGAGTTAACGTTTCATAGTTCTAAGATTAGATAAACTTCGACAGCATTTTAGGGTATTAGAGAAAGGATAGGTATCCACTGACTCAGCATATTAATTTTCATGCTCTCTATCATATATCCATTTTTTACAGCCTTAAAAAGAATTTTGAAGTCCATATTTTAATAACCTATTCCATAGCATATTTTTGCAGGAGGAAAGGGGGGGTTCCCTCCGGTCCCTCCCCAAAATTCCCAAAGTAGGAAGCTTAAGGTGTAGGAAGATCATGGTTTTTTGATAGAGTATCAGCTGGAAAGGGATTTAGAATAAAGGTTTTAGTCATATGTGCCTTACATGTCTGGTGCAGTCCATCTACATTTACAAATGCTTAGGGGTAAATACAAAGTACCCTATTGTGTTTCTTGGCTTGAAAGGTAATTAGTATATACAAGATTTAATCAATTTTACATGGTCTTCGGAAGAGCTTGGTTTAAAAAATAAGTTGTACTTGGATAACCTCATTTCTTCAGAACTGGCAAGATACATTACAAAATATCACAAAACAGGTTCTGTAGTTTACAGAGTGGGAATGTGAACACTTAAAATTATTGTCTACAATACAGGAACAACATAATCATGCTGAAAGGGGGGGGGGTAGAGAGTTTAGGTACTCATTCATCTTATTTGTAATCTTTGCAGGAAAGTATATTACAAATTTTTCTCTCAGATGACCTAAAAATGAATAAGAAATAAAATTCAAATGAATAAACCAATAAATAAAAAAGGGGGGGGGGTAAATCTAGATAAGACATATTTTCTACTTTATTTTCTTACATTAGTCCAGTTAGTTCTTTCTTTCTGACTGAGTAAAAAAGCTGGATATTAGTAATAGAAATAGAGACCCAAAGCAATACAACTTCGAAAGATATAAAATCAGGGAAAGTGGGGGGGGGGGGGGGGGTAAGGAACGTTTAATTTGAAGGGTAACCGATTTATTTTAATGCAGCATAAATATACAGTGGGTTGGAAATGAGAGAGAGTGATGTTCACGATGGATGGGTTGCTGAGGGTTTTGAGTAGGCTAGGAGTCCATGGTGGGTGGTTAAATTGAAGTTGCCTACTCCCACCAGGTGGCGGTAGGCACCTACGGTGCCCAGGTGGCGAAATCGTCACCTTCAATTTAACCATTGATCTGTTGATTTTGTTGACTTTTTGTGGTTGATGTTGATATATGTGATGGTTGATGTTGATATATGTGATGTTGACTTTGAAAATTATATCTTATATAATGTAAATCGAAAGCAAAATAATATAATTAAAAGACAATTTGTGTTGAAATGTGTCCGTAGCACGAATGAGGTCAACCCAGCGTGCTACTTTTCCCGTCAGGGAGGGCACAACTTATGTTGATGTTGGGGGCATGCCATTTTGCCGGCTGCCCCACTGTTGTGTAGACCACTGTGGACAATACCTGCCAACTCGAATAAAACATTAAACTTAAATACTTAGCATTTGTTTATTATATATAGGTCTTTGATAATACCGCATATTTGAGTTCATCTCACAATATGCGTCGTTATCAAAGCTCTATCCTTCAATTATATGTCATCATTCACCTCCTTTTTGTGAAAAAACGAATAAATGAGGTAAGCCGGAATTTATTTATCCATCCATACAGTGTCAGTACTTAGTCACTAGGTTTACGGGTTATCTCCCCTTTTCTATGCATCAATGAAAGTGAAAGGTGGGTGATGAAAGTATCCGATTTATTTTTCTGTATTATGAAATACCCTCCCACCTCAACCCTTGAGCTAGGTGTTAAGTATATACCCTTTCACCTTTTGTTTGTTTAAGGTCTTCCATCCCTAATGAACGATATTGAGAAATGAACCAAGCCTAATATTTTCTTAAAGAGTATCATTCTAGCCATTTATTCATAAAGTTTCAAAAAATTTTACGGTTTGTTTCTTGAGTTGTGTTTGTTTTAAAATACCCACCCCCAATCCAACAACAAATCTCATGATATAATCAAAATCAACTCATATATTTTTTTGTCTTCAATAAGCAGCAAAAATAAATAGTTGAGAAAAACATTATAGTTGCCTATTATTAAAATAATAACAAAAGTTTTCTTTTATGACCTTTATTATAAATTACCCAGCTTAAAACATTACAACGTATTAACGTACTTGATAATTTTTTTGAGATTGACTCGCATCTACCAAATAAAACTTGAATATTGACCCTGATAATTCTATTACAGTAAAAATCTGGGAAGAGTACTAGATTAAAAAAGCAATGTTTGAATAATTTTTACCGTTTACATTTTCAGTGAGAAAAGTTTTAAAAACCTCGAAAAATTTTTCAAAAATTGTATTTTCACAACTTTTTTTTGTTTTCAAGTTTTCAATGTTCTCTTGGACAAAAACAACTTCTGGAAATAATCATATCATTCAAACATAAATGATCAAGTGTTAGTATTGAAAAAAATTTCATTATTATTGCTCAAAATCATTAAAATATGTATGTTACTATGGTTACCACAACAACTATATACATTTTGAACATAAAATACTTTTCAATATTTTATCAGCATTCCCTTGTATTATCAACACAGAATTAGGCACATATCAATATATATACCTTAGAAATACCTTAGAAAAAAACATTTATCTATCTAATACATTATACAATGTATACAAAGCACTAAAAATGACCAACGACACGAACAATAAAAAGAGTCAAATCTACCTTCACTGAATTGACTTAGCTATGGAGTGATGAAAATGGACTGTATCTTAGAAAAAACATTCATCTTTCTATAAATTATGAAATGTATACAAAGCACTAAAAATGACCAACGACACGAACAATAAAAATTGTCAAATCTACCTTCACTGAATCGACTTAGCTATGGAGTGATGAAAATGGACTGTATCTTAGAATTAACATTCATCTTCCTGTAAATTATACAACGTATTATACGGTATACAAGCACTAAAAATGACCAACGACACGAACAATAAAAATTGTCAAATTTACCTTCAATGAATCTACTTATTAGCCAGTAATGAAAATGTATACAATCTATTCAAATATACAATATATGTATAAGAGCCAGTAAGGTAAAAGAAATACATGCATCAAATATGTTGACAGGTAATGCATATACATGTATTCACAGCACATAATTGAAGAGAATTAATTCTTAATAAAAAAATAATCTACCAATTTAGGTAAAACACTCTCAAGAGTTCTCTTTACATTGGTCACCCGTGGTTGTCCCTCAGAGTTTGGTGCAATGAACGTGTTTCTAAGTCCATCTTCTCCATCCCGCTCAAAAATCTTTCTAAGATGGGCAAGCTGTAAACCAGAACCAGCAACATTTTCTGCTGTACACATTTTCATCACTCCATGGCTAATAAGTGGATTCAGTGACGGTAGATTTTTTGCTTTTTCCTCCCTGAAAAGAAAGGCACTGTGGACAGCACGTGGAGGAAAACTGTACTGTAAGAGCTCTTGTGTTGAAAGCGCTAAATGCCGAATCAATTTTCCTAAGGCGTTGACATCACGAATTGCATTGTGAGCATCATAACTTGTGTTCAACAGTGACTTTACTAAATCTTCTTGCTTGTATGATTTTCTCTCTGGATACACTTTTCTAAATACTGAAAGTGAGTCAATAAATCCGCATACACTGCCAAAGAACTCATTTAGTTTACCAATATTCATAATGGTATTCATAAGTACAGGAAAGTCAAATCTTCTTCCATTATGGGCAATCAACACAGCATTTGGAAACGTATTGATCCATTTGATGAAACTATCAAATGCTTCATGTACTCCTAAAGCGTCTACGGGTCTACCACAGACAGTCATACAGTTGGACCCATTCATAGCTATGCCAGTTACTTGCTGTGCAGAACTTGATATTGGCAATCTTGGTATCACATAAACAGAAAAAGTTGCTCCAGAATGAAGTTCGTAGGCTGTCATTTGTGTAATATGAGGGAATACTCGTCCATGAACTAAAAAATTATACAAATTCATATCATTGTAATATTTTTTTCTACAAGTAGTAAATGAAATAAAATATACATTTATTAAAAATATACATATAAATATGTATATATCTTACTGAGGTCAGTAGTTTCCAAGTCAAATGTAACAAAGGATGCAACGTCTCCTCTCAAACAAATGGGCTTAAAAATGCCCCGAGGTATGGCCTCTGGTAAACTTTCAATATCAGTGTCAGCATCATGTCCAATACCTATTTACAATATTGGAAATAAAAGTATAGGAAATATATGTGTCTTAAAATACGTAAATAAATAGAAAAAAAATTATACTGTTACTAAAGTACTGTAGATTCAATAGCAGGGAACTTACCTGATTGGTATGAAATTCCCTCAAGAACTTCAGATGAACTCTGAACAATAGCGCGCTCTTGCTTAAGGATCATTCTCCTGCGTTTCGTTGATGGTAGTTGTGACTTCTCTTGCATGGCCTTCCTCTTCTTTGTCATCTTTGTGGCATACTGTTCAGTGTGCGTACCAGGAGATAGCCCAGCAGTCGTGTTCACCTATTGAATGTAAATTAGACATTGAAAAATAGAAATAAACTTGTTATGGCTGAAATACTGCATTTAGCTATTGACATTTATTCCTTTAATAATAAAAGAATGAAAAGATATGTTTAATAAGTAAATCACATAACTATGTAAAAGCATAAAATGCTATTAAAAAAATAACCAACTCTAAATAAACCCAACATAAGAAAACTCGAAACAAACTCATAACAAACACTCTGTGAACAACTGAATGAACCTGTGAGATGTAATGTCGTCCTTCATTTATAAATGCTGCTGTTGCGTGGACTCTGAAATCTAGCGATTCGGAATTACCATAATGAAGAGATTTGGGTGCCCTAAGAGTCACTTCTCTATTCGCGTGTTCACATTGCTGGCTTGAGCCAAGGTCTGCATATTGCTCTGCATTAGCAATAATAGGCTGGAATAAACTCTCTAGTCTTGAACGAAGTATGTCATCTTTCAAGGCAGCCTTGTATGGAAGGCTTCTGTGAACATAGGTTTCACTTGGAGTACGTTTGAAGCCACAAAATCTACCCTCACATAGTGAGTGGTCTCCAAACTGGTGGGGAATAAGGGCTTTCAAATTTTCTTGTAACTTGTCCTTATCTCCAGCATTTTTGGCAAAGATATATTTGAGACACTTCTGGATATGTAAAATAACAGTCTTGCTGAGTTTTATACCTTTTTCCGCATGCAGTGCATATAAACTCTTCCCAATATTTTTCAGGACATGATTCTTATCAAACTTCTTCTTCAAAGAGATGTTGAGATCTTTTTTAATGCGAGCTATCAGCGTATTGTCACCATCCCCTTCTATACACTCTACAGGTGTCCCCTGGGCTGCAAGGTCTTTCACACCAATCAATCCGCCTGTGCTCTCCATGAGTTTGGCACTACCTACATGATTGCGTACACACCTATGTTTTCTGACAGGAAGTCCTGGTCTATTTCTTTGCCACCATTTACATACCCCACAGGTTCTATGATTTACAACAGACTTAACAACTTTCTTACCGTATTTTGATTTACTCATGAAGAATGTATGAGCTAATAAAATAATTAGAGAAATTATGTTACCACATATATTTAAGCAGTATTAATTTTAATTTCTGTTTCAGTTCATGTTAGTTGCTATACTCACAAGTAAGACTGTCAAAGCCGCGTTTCTGCCATGCCGTATCCACAGCAACAGTCATGCCTGATCAACAGTCATGCCTGATCTTGATTTACATGGAAATTGTAATGCTCTTTTTGTGCTTTTTGACGATCTAGATGTCTTCTTCCTAACTAATTTCTTCTTCAGTTTATAAGGGGGTTTCAGTGGTGGAGAAATGCTACAAAAATAATTTCAAACAAATTATAAAACTTTAAAACAGTACATTCTTCGGCACTTTTTAACATAACACATTATTTAAGCATTGAAAAATAATAACCCTTCAGTAGGCAAATCTTCCCATTCATCATCACCAACATCCACTATATCATCTTTGTTTTGGTCTGCAGCACAATCACCAGTCACTTCATCGAACGCAGCAGAAAATACTTGTCTGTAATCAAAATGGTAATATGGTTAAGTTACAATAAATTGAATGTAAAGCTTTCAGTACTTTTAAAATTTTTAATGTACCTGATGACAGAGATTTTTTACAATTACATGCTAAATCATTGATTATAAATATTTGATATTGTCCTGTGGCTTTACATATTTCTATGAACCTGATTGACGGAGATGCATCTGGGAGTGGACAAACACCAAGATCTTCAACTACTGGACCCATAGTTGATAGCGCTTCTTCTGACTCGTCTTTCGCAATTTCTCTGTAAAAAAAAAAATAAGATATCCGTAAAATTGTGTCAGAAATATGTTTATTTTTGTGATACATTATACTACATAAAATATCCTTACTGCATTTCCATCTTGAATGCTTCTAATGCTGCATTATTTGTCGATTTTCTGGCCACCTCCTCTATCACTTCACCAGCACGTCTCTCCATACTTTTTAGAATTTTGGAACTTATTGTTGGTATATTTAATGTTGACAAGATATTGTTGACTTTGTCTGGGCCCCCTATGCTGTCTATCATAGCTGTGAAAGTCATGTACATGTATATTTAGAAACCGCATATATACAAAATTAGTATGCATAACTGGGCAACATGTGTGTGTGTGTGTGTCACTCTGTGTGTGCGTTTTTTATCATATTTTTACAAACGTGTAAAAATTAAATAAGATCCCTTACCTGTACCAAGCTTTGTATTGACGGAAAAACGAGGCATTCCATTTTTTGTCACTCGGTACGTTTTTCCGTATGGCACCTTGTTTACGTGACGACAATCGACATTTGAACACAAAACATACAGGTATCCACCTAGACCTTTCTTCAGTTCTCCTACTACTGTGTCATATGTTAACGGGACAGGACCTAGTAAACAGTTTTTACAATACAAGAGTCCAGAAAGAAGACAGTCTACATGTAGTTCAATGATCCGGCGACCTTCCTTCCAGCTGTCTTTACTGGCGTTTTCAGGGATCTTTGGTGGCGACTCACCTCCCGTATTAAGTACATGTCCAATAGAATAATTGTGGTCAATTTTTACTCTTGACCTTTTCTTTTTCGTTAAAAGCGACCGTGTTTTTGTAAATCTACAACGGCCATCCCTGTCTTGCAAGGAGGCCGCCATTTTTTTTTCTTACCATTATCATACGGGCATTTGAGGGGGGTTTCCCGAAATCCGAAGTAACACGAGGTTATACGAAAATTGCCGATGTCATTACGGGTGGAAGACCTTAAATTACGTTTACATTGTTTTACATGGGTTAGGTATAGCCAATTTATTAAAGTTATGGAAATGTTATTGAGAATCTTTTTCTGCTGTGGGGTTTTGTTTTTTTCTTTTCAGGTATTAGGTAAGGAGACTAATGGTGCTGATCAGAATTGCCTGCTATTTCCGTATTCTAGGACCTTTGGAATGATCTCTGGCCGAATACCATGCGTGACAAGTGTCAACTTGGCGAATTATCCATGATTTCGAGGAGTTCGGGGAAAGACAGTAGAGTATACTTCACAGTGGTCGTATTGGCGAAATCGTCACCTTCAATTTAACCATTCAACTGTTGATTTTGTTGACTTTTTGTGGTTGATGTTGATATATGTGATGTTGACTTTGAAATAATGTAAATCGAAAGACAATTTGTGTTGAAATGTGTCCGTAGCACGAATGAGGTCAACCCAGCGTGCTACTTTTCCCGTCAGGGAGGGCACAACTTATGTTGAAGTTGAGGGTATGCCATTTTGCCGGCTGCCCCACTGTTGTGTAAACCACTGTGGACAATACCTGACAACTCGAATAAAACATTAAACTTTTAAAATACTTAGCATTTGTTTATTATATATAGGTCTTTGATAATACATGTATACGTGTAAATGAAATGTCATCAAATTAACTTTCCTACGTGTTTTATTTTTGACAAATTGTACTTTGGAACAAGAAGTCTCTGTCGAGACTGTAGCTCTACTGGTTTGTACTTATAACAAAGGTGAGAAAAGAAGCCATTGCCATCAGACCAAAACTGTGGAAGGAGTAGCGTTTTAAAAGAATTTCAGACATTTCTCTTTTTACAGTTGTAACAATGGCAACACTGTTCATCGAAAGCAAAAACCGATGCACTATTTTATGTATCTTAGTGTAGTCTACTTGTGTGCCAAGTTATCTTGAAATCAGATCAAAACTGTAGAAGGAGTAGCGTTTTATAGGAATTTCACAACAATACTTTTTTTAGTAACCATGGCAACACCGTTTATCGAAATCAAATCCGATGCACTATTCTATGTATCTTAGCGTAGTCTACTTGTGTGCCAAGTTATCTTGAAATCAGACCAAAACTGTAGGAGGAGTAGCGTTTAAAAGAAATTTCATACAAAATTCTATTTTTAGTAACCATGGCAAAACCGTTTATCGAAATCAAAATCCGATGCACTATTTTATGTATCTTAGTGTAGTCTACTTGTGTGCCAAGTTATATTAAAATCAGATCAAAACTGTAGGATGAGTAGCATTTCAAAGGAATTTCACAGAAAATTCTATTTATAGTAATCATGGCAACACCGTTCATCGAAATCAAAAACCGGTGCACTATTTTATGTATCTTAGTGTAGTCTACTTTTGTGTTTAGTTATATTAATATCAGACCAAAACTAGGAGGAGTAGCGTTTTGAAAAATTGTTTACAGACAGACGGACGGACGACGGACACATTACTATCGCATAAGCTCTTCTGGTCTCTGACCAGTAGAGCTAAACAAGAGGCCCATGGGCCTTATAGGTCACCTGAGTATCATGCAACAACTTTCCATCAATTGAATATGATTCATGTTTTAATCTAGAAGCCTTGAAATTCACAATTATGAAAGAGGCGCCATTGCTTATCATAATTATGCACTCGGCATACTTACTTTGGATAGTAATACCCAGAGGTACATGTAGATCACAGTAACAAAGAGAAAATGCATTTCCACTTTATAATTATCAGTTGTGCACCCCATCCCACAGGAACCACTGACCCTGGGGCCACATCTTCAAAAATTTTGGAAATTATATAAATTTTATTTCACCATGTTGTTGATTAATACCAAAGTGCAGATTTCAAAGCATTAAATCATTTTCAGACCCCCCCCCCCCCACCCAAGTACCTCTGTCCCAGGGGCCAGGAAATTAAGCATTTATTGAAAGAAGCAGCGTTCTTCGTCATAAATATATACTAAGATCATTGCCATAATACCCAGGATCAAAGGAAAAGATTTTCAAAGAATTTATGCATTTTCACTATATAAACATTAGAGCCCCGCCCTAACACAAGAAGCCCTGACCCAGGGGCCTGAAATTCACAAATCTCAAAGAGGCATCCTTCCTCCTCATAACTATGTACATAGTTCATTGGTTTAATACCCAGGTGCAGAAAAGAAGATTTTTAAAGAGTTTATGCATTTTCACTATATAAACAATAGAGCCCCACCCTAACACCAGAACCCCTGACCCTGGGGCCATAAAATTCACAATTGTGGAAGAGTCACTCTTACTCATCATAACTATGTACTTAGTTAGTTTATTTAATACCCAGGAGCAGAGAATGAGATTTTCAAAGAAATAAATAATGCATTTTCACTATATAATCAATATAACCCGCCCTAACACCGAAACCCCTGACCCTGGGGCCATAAACTTCATAATTTAAGAAGAGGCAACCTTATTCACCATAACTATGCACTTGGTTAGTTTATTTAATGCCCAGGAGCAGAAAAGAAGAATATCAAAGAAATAATGCATTTTCACTATATAATCTATATATCCCCGCCCTGCCACTAGAACCAATGACCCGGGGGCCATTAGATTCACAATTTAAGAAGAGGCAGCCTTATTCAACATAACTATGCACTTGGTTATGTTATTTAATGCCCGCAAACAGAAAAGAAGAATATCAAAGAATTATTTCAATTTCACTATAATAATCTGTATGGCCCCGCCCTAGCACTAGAACCAATGACCCTGGGGGTCATTAAATTCAAAATTTTGGAAGAGGCAGTCATTTTCAACTCAACTATGCACTTGGTTAGTTTATTTAATGCCCAGGAGCAGAAAAGAAAAATTTCAAAGAAATAATGCATTTTCACTAAATAACCTATTTAGCCCCACCCTAGCACTAGAACCCCTGACCCTGGGGCCATGAATTTCACAATTTTGGTAGAGGACTTAATGCTGATTACAATCATGCCAACAGTTTGACTGCTTGATGTCCAGGAGTAAAGAAGAAGATTTTTAAAGATTGCACTAATTTTAGTGGTTTTTGCCCCAGGCCCCAGGGGGCAGGGACTATGAAATTCACAATTTTTGTTCCCCTTCACCTATAGATGCTATATGCCAAATTTGGTTGAAATTGGATCAGTGGTTTAAGAGAAGAAGCTGAAAATGTTCAAATGTTAACGCACGACAGACGACGACGGACGAAAACAGATAGCAATAGGTCACCCGAGTTTACTCAGGTGACCTTAAAAGAGGTGTGCGCGTTAAAAAAAAAACCTGTGGAAAAAAGCTTATTCTTTCTATCACAACTCGTATAGTGTTTATAAACTATACAGCAAACACAAAATTTTAAATGTATTAAAATTGGTTCAAAATTTATTCTTAAAAGGGGCTCCTACATCTCTTTTTATACTTACAAATGCAGGGTGTCTTTCTAGTATTTGTATTGTCATTAACATTTTAAAAATTATTTGAAAATAGTTACAATTGTAACAGTTGTTATTTATATGTGTATTTGTATTACTTGTCATTAACATTTTAAAAACTTTTGGAAAACAGTTACAATTGTAACAGTTGTAATTTATATTTAAAGTATCGATGAGGAATCCAAGATTTCTAATTGAAAAAGGTAGGGGAAGTATGCGAATAGTGGGAAAAATGAGCGTACATAGTGGGAAAAATGAGCGTACATACATCTTCGCTAGCCAAGGGTTTCTGATACGCTACTCTCCTCATAAACCCTTGGCATACGGTGAAGTCAAAAGACGGGATTGTTTTCCGTCACGTGATCTCGAATCTATCAGTACGAACAGATTGCGCCATCGCCAGAAATAAAGACACGTGTTAAACCAGAAGTCTCTGTTGAGACTGTAGCTCTACTGGTTTGTGCTTATAACAAAGGATGAGAAAAGAAGCCATTGCTATTAGACCAAAACTGTAGAAGGAGTAGCGTTTTTAAGGAATTTCACACATTTCTATTTTTTGTATACTGTAACAATGGCAACACTTTCATCAAAATCAAAAACCGATGAACTACTCTATATATCTTAGAGTAGTCTACTTGTGTGCCAAGTTATATTGCAATCAGACCAAAACTGTAGGAGGAGTAGCGTTTTAAAGGAATTTCACAGGAAATTCTTTTTTTAGTAACCATGGCAACACCGTTCATCGAAATCAAAATCTGATGCACTATTCTATGTATAATAGTGTAGACTACTTGTGTGCCAAGTTATATTGAAATCAGATCAAAATTATAGGAGGAGTAGAGTTTTAAAGGAATTTCACAGAAAATTCTATTTTTATTAACCATGACAACACCATTCATTGAAATCAAAAATGGATGCACTATTTTATGTATCTTAGTGTAGTCTACTTCTGTGCCAAGTCATATTGAAATCACATCAAAATTGTAGGAGGAGTAATGTTTTGAAGGAATTTCACAAAAAAATTCTATTTTTAGTAACCATGACAACATCGTTCATCGAAATCAAAATCCGATGCACTATTTTATGTATCTTTGTGTAGTCTACTTTTGTGCAAGGTTATATCGAAATCAGATCAAAACTGTAGGAGGAGTAGCATTTTAAAGGAATTTCACAGAAAAAATTCTATTTTTAGTCACCATGGCAACACCGGTCATCGAAATCAAAATCCGATGCACTATTTTATGTATCTTAGTGTAGTCTACTTGTGTGCCAAGTTATATTGAAATCAGATCAAAATTGAAGGAGGAGTAGCGTTTTAAAGGAATTTCACAGAAAATTCTATTTTTAGTAACCATGGCAACACCATTCATCGAAATCAAAAACCGAAGCAATATTTTATGTATCTTAGTGTAGTCTACTTGTGTGCCAAGTTATATTGAAATCAGATCAAAACTGTAGG